TCCCCATTCCATTTCCTCCCCCAAAACCTCTTACAACCTTACTAATTACGGGTGCCTCCCTGATGGGCCCTGCACTCCCCAGCTGAATGAACAGGGCCCAGTCCCACTAAACTCCTATGCCCTGGGAGAGCCCATCAGCTTTGGCAGGTAGCCCTGGGTGAGCCTGCACAGAATTCAGCCTGTGGTGTAAGGGGCAGAAGCACGACCTCTCCTCCCCAAATCAACCCAGACACGCTTTCGTTGCGGCTCAAGGGCTGAGCTGAGATGGGTGCAGATTCTGAAGCAGGCCAATCCAGCCTGTCAGTCCTTAATACCCAGCCTTTGGACTTGGCACTGACCTTCAAAGGGTCCGTGGGGTGAAAGTCGGTGGCTGTACCAATGACGCAGCTGGGTGCACCTATCACTGCTCTCTCCACCCTGGAGGTATCCCAGGGATCCAGGCTGCACCATAGTGTCTGCTCTGTCCACTTGCATCTGCCAGGCAATGGGAAAGGAGAGATTCCTCAGAAAGGCATCATGGCATGGACGTCGAATCTCCCCAGCATGCAGCAAAGTAGTTGCCACGTTTGCTTCAGGATGGATAAGCACCTGTCAGGAACAATCTGGTTATGTACGTCTGCCCTGAGGGCAGGGGACTGGACTAGACAGCCTCTCGCGTTCCCTTCCAGTCCTACACTGTCATTCATGTTAAAATTCGACACTCTCCAAAAAGGAATGAACAAACACTCGAACTATCTTACCCATTACCAAGATAGCTTCCCCAATTATCACCTCTAATACCATTAACTCACAAACATCCCACTCTCCCCACCTCTAATATCATCAATTCACAGACACTTACCTTCCTTCCTTCCCCCTCCCCCCCCCCGCATCCCCCTCCTGTTCTGAAATGTGATTTGTCCTTTTCATATGTGTTCATTTTTTTTAATTGCATCCTTTGGTATATATGGCTGTGACTATTTTCTTCCACTATTTGATCTGAGGAAGTGGGTCTGGCCCACGAAAGCTCATCATCTAATAAACCATCTTGTTAGTCTTTAAAGTGCTACATTGTCCTGCATTTTGCTTCTCCTACACTCCTGTGAGTCTACGATCATCCCTAGCAGATAAAACTCATGGCACACAAAGCGCTTAGCGGAAGGTTTCAGTGTCACTGCTCTGCATCCCTCCCCCCTTACCAGTCTGAAAGGTAAAACTACTCAGCTATTGTGTATTGCACTGTGTACACAGAAAACAGCTGCATTCTAGCCCCAGAAGTGGCTGCATTTCAGGAAGGCCACTGTAGCCTACGCTGTCTCACAGGGGTGCTGTGAAGCCTAGGCTACGTCTACACTGGCATGATTTTTGAAAATGCTTTTAACCGAAAAGTTTTCCGTTAAAAGCATTTTCGGAAAAGCACGTATAGATTGGTAGGATGCTTTTCTGCAAAAGCACTTTTTGCGGAAAAGCGTCCGTGCCAATCTAGATGCGGTTTTCCGCAAAAAAGCCCTGATCGCCATTTTCGCGATCGGGGCTTTTTTGCAGAAAACAATACTATGCTGTCTACACTGGCCCTTTTGCGCAAAAGTCTTTCGGAAAAAGACTTTTGCCCGAACGGGAGCAACATAATATTTCCGGAAAAGCACTGATGATTTTACAGGAGATCGTCAGTGCTTTTGCGGAAATTCAAGCGGCCAGTGTAGACAGCTGGCAAGTTTTTCCGCAAAATCATGTGATTTTGCGGAAAAACTTGCCAGTCTAGACACAGCCCCAGTGTTTGTAGTGGATTTTAGGAAGCAAGATGCTAGCAAATGGAAGTGCCAGGTTTTCTTGAAGTTTACCACCTCATAGAATGAAACAATTACATCAAATCAATTATGTCAAGCAGGTACCACGAGGAAGACACCCGCTCCAGCACTGAAAGTCGAGATGAATACCTACCTGCTGGGGTTGGTCGTTTGCTTAGTTTTTGTTTTAATAGAGGGAAAATGGATGCACTAGGCCAGGCATGGCCAACCCGCAGCTCGCGAGCTGCATGCAGCTCTTCCCCCCCCGAAAGTGCTGCTCACGAAGCCGCCCCTGTACCCCTGAAAATGGTCCCCGGCTCCCTGTGCTCTCTGGATCAGGGGAGCCGTCCAGCATGGCCATTCAAAATGGCATCTTCAAGATGGCGGTGACAAGTGGGAGCCTTTAAATGCATTTCTTAAGGGGGCAGTCCTTTTTTCCCCCCCCCCTCCAACAACTTGGGGGGAGGGGTGTGGAGGGACTTCTTTTTTTTTTTTCTTTTCCTCAACTACTTTGCCCTGGCTCTTCGCGCTGTATCCACTTCTATTTTGGCTCTTTGTCCGGAATGGGTTGGCCACCCCTGCATGTACTGTACCTTTCAGATGCTCTCACCTTTCTGTCAGCTGATGTGGCATAAGAAAAGCTGCTGCTCTCATGGATAAAGCTCTGGTCCTTTGGAACGAAAGGTCTTTGTCTCTCGTATTGATTTTATTTCTATTACCGTGGCAGCCAGCAGCGCCAGCTGAGCGCAGGGCCCCAGGCACTAGCAGAGCTAACCACCTACACAAACTGACGGGAGGGGAAGCTGGCAGACAGAAGTGAGGTGAAGCAACTTGACCAGCGTCACAGGGCCCAATAATAAGCTGCTTTGCATGGCGAGCCAGAAGATGGAAGGAACAGTCAGGAGGAAGTAAGAAGCAGCTTCGCTGCCGCTGAGCATTTAAATGTCTATTTTAAACACATTTTAAATGACTCCTGCACAAAAGGCGACCACGGGCCCCACAGAGAAGAGTTTCCACACTCACACGGAGTTTGTTTTCCCACCCCGTTCCTTCGATGCCTCTTCACCCGTGCAAAGGCGCTTTTCCGGAAGCAGGAGATCATAGTCCCCAAGCTGTGCCTGAGTAGATGCTGATGGTGCTGAGCTTGTTACCTAAGAGCCAGAGAGAGAGAGAGAGAGCTTGAGATGCTCTGTATTGTATTTCTGATTACAAATGAGTCACCGTTTCTCAGGAATACAGATTCCCCCGCCACCCACGCAAAAGCAGAAATCAGACAAAAGAATTTCTGACAGGTTTATCCAGGGCTGCATGAGAGTTACTTAGGATGTAGCCACGGTGCTGGAGTTTTAACAACAGTTGCATTCCCCGATCTCACACTATTTTAGGAAGGAAGGTGAATATAAATATCCCTATTTTAAACATGGGGAAACTCAGGCAGAAAGGGGCAGTCATTTGCCCAAGAATACAGGGCTCCAGTGCCAAGGAAAGTAAGTGGCAGATCTGGGAACAGAGCACAGGTTGCTGGACACCCAGGTTAATATTCTCTGCACTGGTCTGTGCTGCCTCCTGTCAGGTCAATTTAGTGCTCGGAAAAAGGGTCAAATTCACAGCTTTTGAGGACCAAAATCCTCTGCAGGCTGGTTCTTATCTTGTGATGGAAACTGTAGGCCCGAACAGAGCTGGGCCCTGAGCCAGGAAGAATGCAAGGCACAGAAAAGAGAGGAAACGGTTCTTCTCACATAGAAAGGAGTTGCCGGAGGTTGAACAAAGCCCTCAAAAGATCCAGCCTGTGCTGCTCGTGACAGATAGGGTGGCCAGGTGCACGGTTTTGAACCGGACAGTCTGGTATTTGAGGGTTCTGTCCAGGAAACAAATTGAGAAAATACCGGACGTATAAACTGTCTGGTATTTTCTAATTCGGTACGTTTGATTATTATTAGGCGTATCAGTGTGTAGTTGAGAACTGCCTGGCTGTAGACACGTTCACGCTGCGTGAGTATGTCTACCAGCCAGGCAGTACGAAACTACACGAGGGGGGTGCGGGGCCAGGACGGGAGGGAATCCCCGGGGCCAGACTTGCTTGTACTTCACCGGGACCATGCGCGGGATGGGCAGCGCCCTGGGATCTGCGTGCAACCGGATCAGTCCCGCTCCCTGCTGGCCAATTCTCTCCCCACACTTCCTCCCCGGCCAGCCCCACTCTCCCCACTCCCCTCCCAGCCAGCCCTGCTGGGCCGCCCCCCGGTGTCCCCTCCTCCCCCATCTGATATCAGGTGTGTCCGGTATTTTTTTTTTAAGCCACCTGGTAACCCTATCTGAAGCTTGTAACTACTTCCTCCCCTCTCCGGTCTCCCCCAGCCAGCCCCACTGCCCCCAACCCCGCCAGCCCTGCTTCCCGCTGGCTGGTTCTCCACCTCCTCCCAGCCAGCCTCACTCCCCTCCTGGCCGGTCCCCCTCCCCAATCTGAGATGAAGTGTGTCCGGTATTTTTTTTGGAAGCCACCTGGTAACCCTAGTGACAGAACAAGTGCACTTGAAGCACAGGCCAAAGGAGCGATGGAGTCATGATACTGTGAAAAACCAGCATTAAAGCAGGACAAGAGCAGGAGTTTTAGCATTTTCATTTCTGGGGAGAAGCTGTTGCAGGCTGAGTTCAGCCAAAGTGACAGGCCTGGTCCCACAATTGCTGCAAACACACCTTGGCATTTCAGCCTTGTTTTAAGTCACCTCAGCCTGCTAGATGGGTTGCACTTCCCCTCCCACACCTGGAGGGCAGTGAAGAGGATGCACCCAGCACCAGAGGGCGGCTAGGTGCTGCCCTGGGGAAGCCGTGGGGACATTTCAGACTGCCTTTCAAGGGGCCCTGGCATTGATGCTCCGATTCCTCCAGGCTGCATTGTCAGTGCGCTGTGACTCAGCCACGACTTCAGGGTCACACTCACTATGACAAGCACAACCCCCCAAGTCACAACCACCCTCTGACAGATGTGCATGACTTCAGCTGAAGATCCCTGCAAAGCAAAGTCGAAAGCAGTGGGGGCGGCCGTGGCGGGGGGGAGAGTGTGTGTGTGGGGGGGGGGGCAGTTAGAGTGACACACCAAGAATACGTTTAGGAAATAATTCACCCTGGCCAGCATCTGCTCCACTTCCCCATCACAGCAGGGCTGAGTCAGTAACTACCAGTGGGGACACTTCCTGGTTGGTTTGCGACACTGCGGGCTCCGGGGGAAACACAGAAGTACAAGTAGGAGCGGTGCAGAGGGGCAGGGGCAGGGGCAGGCTGTAGAGAGCACAGCAGGGCTGCAGCAAGGGGAGGCCAGTCCTGACCCCATTGCTGCACCATGGCTCTGGCGGAGACCATCCGACTGTGGAACGAGGGAGTGTGTGCGGCTGACCGGAAGGACTGGGCAGCCGCGCAGGGTGCTTTCACCACAGTGCAGAACCCCCCTTCCAAACTCTGCTTTAACATTGGCTGCATCCACCTGACCCTGGGGAATTTGACTGAGGCGGAGGAGGTAAGAACCCCCCCTCCCTACCCCCC